GCTGAGCCGACAAACAGCTGATCAGCTGTTTGTCGGCTCAGCGCGGCAGCCATGTAAATTTAAATGAAGCGGCGATTATTTAAATCGCCGCTTCATTTTCCTATGTCTGGTAGCCTAATCTACATGCCTCTGGCGACAGAGGCATGTAGTCTAGACGTACCCTTACATTAGATCGTCAGTGTTCTTGCGCAAATTCAAGCGGCCAGTGTAGACAGCTGGCAAATTTTTCCTCAAAAGCAGCTGCTTTTGTGGAAAAACTTGCCAGTCTAGATGCAGCCACTCGGTTTTGGGAACAGAGCTAGGTCCATCGCTCAGAGGCTGGGGAGTCAGCGCTCTGAGCTGAAAGCAAGGAAATCGTGGGGCTGGATGATCTGCCAAACACTAGGAGATTTTGCTCTGTCAGTGGGGAAAGATTACATGAGACTTAAGGCCCAGGCGGTAAAAATAATAAAGGCAGCCGACCAGGTCCCAGGTAAGTATCAAAGGGGGCTTTTCCTTTAAGCACAAAAATTAGCGCTGGTCATTTCAAGCAAGTCTGGAAATGTGGTTGTTTTCCTTTTGTTAATGGAAACATTTTCAGAGCTTAGGCCTTCCTGAACTTATCTGCATATCAAAGACTTGCCCACATCCTCTGCTCTAACAGAGGTCACATGGTTATCTTGATTAAGGAAATGCTTGTCTATGGAGACACGGCCACTGGATTTCTGCAGCCGAGAAAAAAAAAAGAAAGATTTAAACTGTGTGCTTAAGCAGATTTCTGGAAAATATCTTCCCAGGAAAATGATTTCAATATGTGTTTTTTTTTCTTTTCTGCTTGCTCTGGATGCTATGGTTTGTAAAGAATTAGTTTTCTAGGTCATTTCGCCTGGAATCAGAACATGGAGACGCAGCTGAGCCCATGAAGGAGGGGGCAGGGGGAAAAAAAAAACTCACCAAAAGAAAAAGCCAGACGTGGGTTGCCAGCTTGTGGGCAGCCAAAAAAGCAGACAGGAAAACCAAACCGGGGACGTTAGCGCAGAGAAACTGGGACATTACAGCCCCCACCTGTATCCAATTTCAGGAGACCCTGTCTTACCACAGACGCATGTCTCAGAGAGGCTGCGTTTCACAGCTATAGCAAGAGGTTCTGTGCTCCCCTCTGTGCATGAGCAAAATTATCAAGCATGCTAATGGAAACAGCCACCTGGGTGTCTGGGAGGGAAAACAATTGACAGAGCCTCTACAGAAGGGCTGGCCTTAGGTCCAGAAAGAAGGTTTCAACCTAATCCCAGGACAAAGGAATTTGAAGACCAATGGTCCATCTCACCTGGTCTCTGACAGAGGAAGGTACAAGAAAGCTCATAATAGCCTGCAGTGGAATAATCATCCAATAAAAAGA